AAGTTCTAGGCTACCCTGGGCTATATAAGACCCTGTCTTTGAAAAACAAAGAATGAATACAGGCCTTCCTCAACCTTCAGTCACCCCAAATCACCACTGTACTCTATTCACTTCTCTCCATGCAAATCATACAAGAATGGGCTGGACTCACCAGCTCTACCTCCCTGTCATTTATTTAGTATTTGGATTATACCCATCAGACTGGCAATCCTCGTTCTCCAACACTATATTTCAAAACCTAAGCTCTTGCTTTGAGATAAGACCTGCATTTTTCTAGAGGATTTTAATTATAATGTACATCTGGATCCAAGATGTCCCCTAAGCAGACCCTTGCCACTTCCAGGACCACACTTCATCTGCCTGCAATAGCGAATGTGGACCCAGTTAGGACTTTTAACTTGGTGTTTTCACTTTTTACTAGGTGACTCCCTGGTCTAATGTGATCATGATCTCTGTCTATTCTCTGTGGCTACTGGTGAAATTTAAGCCACCAGTCCATTTTGTCTCCACATGGTCCTCCACCCACATACTACTATGATGTATTTCATTTCTTACCCTCCCCTGGCATGAATCTTTCTCTGTGCCGCCAGCTCCCAAATAATGACATGGAGACTTATGAAAGCTTGGCCTATATCTTAGGTTTATTTCTAACTAGCAATTATGTAAATTAACCCACTTATTTTAATCTACATTCTGTCAAGTACCCAATCTCTCTGTCCTGCTCACACTGTTTCCTCTGAATCTGATTGTCAACTCCACCTTCTTCTTTCCAGAGTTCTCTCTCTGACCTGAATTCCTGCTTATACCTCATACATAGCTATTGGCTGTTCAGCTTTTCACTACACCAATCACATCAATACATTTTCACACAGTGTGCCAAAATCCCATACCCCCACCTGGGGCCTCCTCTCCTTCTCTCTGTACTTCTCTTAACTTTCCTTATTCTAACGGACACTTGGTTATTTCCTCTGGGCTGTTTCCTTTGCACTTCTTTCCTGAACAAGATCTATTTTTTTCCCATGGCTCAAAGCCTAGGAATATAATAGGTATACAACTCAACCCTCCTTGATGCTTTCAAATAGATGCTTCTTTATAAACAAACAAACAAAAAAAACAAGCAAACCATTGCCACTACCACTAACAATAACAAAAATACAGGTCCAGTGGCTGAGAAGACAACTAAGACAGCAAAAGGCTTTGTCTTACAAGTGTGAAATACTAGATTCAATTTCCAGGACCTGTTAAAACAAACAAGTATAGTGGCACATTTTCAGCCCAGTGCTGGTAGATGGAAATAGGTGCATCCCTAGGGCTTGCTGGCCAACTAGCCTACCTAGGCTAATTCACTTGGTGACCTCCAAGGCCAGTGAGAGACACTGCTTCAAAATATAAAGTGGATGGTGTTTCTGTGACACTTGAAGTGCCCTGAGGTTATCTTCTTGAAGTCCACATGCATTTTATTATACATACGTATGCATGTGTGTGTTTGCACACGTGCGCGGGTGCGCGCGCGCGCACACACACACACACACACACACTCCTCCCACACCTCCTTAAGAGAACTTATCACCAAGTTCTTTGTTTATCATAATTGTTTGTTATATCTCTATACATTTTACCTTCCAATCTTCTAACTCTCACTCAAGATTTTAACATCTGGGTCATTATCTTCATCTGCCAATTTCTGTCCACACATGGGAACTTTGCTGTTAACTAAATTTCCATTGTTACCCTTTTAGTTTCCATAGAACACTCTTGCTAACGTCATCTTCTCCCAGACTTCACTTACTACTGACTATATTACCAACTGACTTCAACCTACACATCACTTCCCTTCTGAGCATATGTTCTAAATATTTCTATGTGGGTATGTTGTGCCCAGACACCGAACTCCCCCAAACCACTAAGAGACCAGATCCGATGCAAAAACAGAGTCTTTATAATTGATGAAGTAACTGTAGTTAGCTTGGAACCTATGTCCATCCGACACAGTGGGCAGAGCAGGCGGGACCCTGATCAGCAGTAGGGCAGGACATATATTGGGGTAGAGCAAGGGGAGTGTCTGGGAGTCTGCTAGTTGCATAGCAACAGTCTCAGGATTAGTATACCTCCAAGCTTGGGCAACCTGTCATGGGTTGATAGCAGAAAGGTTGCTATTCCTAGAGGCTTTCCCAGGGCAGTTGCTGAACTCTGCATTCCAGTATTATCAGTAAATCACATTCAGAGCCTGCCAGCTAACTTCTGATTGGTCCCTTGCCACGTGGAGGGTATCTGGCTTCCTAGTGATTAAGGCAAGGTTGGGCAAGGTTGGGCAAGGGGGGGGGGGCTCAGCACATGTTGCTGAGTCAGAGACCTATGTCTTTCTGGGTCTTTCCTCCAGCCTGTCATGGCTGCCAAAGCAGGGGGCTGGGTGAGGGTCTGGGCCCCTCAGGTATTTCATGGAACATCAACATCATGATCTTGTTAACAACTTTATTATATCCCTGTTATAAAACTTTTTGTTATATAGAATCAATGCTGATCCAGTCATAAAAGCAAGAATTTGGGAGATTCTTGATTCCAGATTCCCCTGTATCTCTTGGTGGTCACATTCCATCAGTAATAACTTCCTAACCTACATCTGTTGTGCATGAGCTCAGAGCTTCTTTGGCCCAGCCTCTGCAGATAGTAAAACCAATAAGTAGTACTAGGGAAATTATCTCTGGGTTTAGATCACAGGTTCCAATTTATATCAGGTTGTGGGCAAGTATCTTAAGTTTTTTGTGCCTTGTTTTTCTCATTTCTCAAATGGTGGTATAATATTGCTTACTTCATATAGTTACTAGGACAATTGAGTTATATTTGCTGGTTAGTTTTTGCCAATTTGACACCAAGTAGAGTCACCTGGGAGGAAGGAACCTCAATTAAGAAATTACCTCTATCAGATTGGGTGTGTTTGTGGAAGCATTTTCTTGATTGCTGGTTGATGTAAGGGCCCAGCCGACTGTGGGTGGTGCCATCCATGGGCAGTTATATCAAAGCAGTAGCTGAGCAAGCCGGAGGAACAAGCCAGCATTTTGCTTCAGATCCTGTCTCTGCTTCCATTGATGATGGACTAGAAACTTTTTTTAAGTGAAAGAAACCGTTTCCTAGTCTATGTTTGTTTTAGTCATGGATTAATCACAGCAACAGAAATTAACTAGGGCAATATGTGTGAATATCTGTAAATACTTCACAGCTTTTAGTAGTATGGATGACATAAATAAGGGCGCCAGCAGGGACAAACATTTTTAGGAAAGAAAGTTGAAGGATATTTAATTCTTTGTTTTGGTTTTAAGACAGTGTCTCTATTATAAAGCTTTGGCTATCCTAGCACTCACTATATAGACTGGGCTGGCCATGACTCATAGAGATCCACCTGGCTGTGCCTCCCAAGTGATGGGATTAAAGGTGTGCATCACCATGCCTTGCTTGGTTATCTTAACTAGACCCTCAACCAGTCTTTCTTTATTCAGCTGCATGCCACACCCTGACCTTCAAAGATAACCAGTGCTTCTACTTACTAGAATTTATAGGTTCTTGGGAGCAAATTAATTTCCTTTTGTAGCTAATTAACTTTTTGTGTTGTACACCTTCACTATCCAATTGGTAGGTGGTTAGTGGGTCACTAAAATGTGACTGACTAGTGCTACACAATCTGACATAATATTTTGGTTATCTCCATTTGAATAAAACTTACTTAAATTAATTTCACATATTTATTTTAACCATTTAATATGGATATTAGAAATTATGACTTGGGTTTCTACTGGATGGTGTTGCTGTGCACCTTACAGTTTTGACCCTTCTCATCTGCTATCCTTTTTTCCTAGCATTCTCTTTAGTCTTGTAGGTTTATACCCTTTTATTCATTTTGGGAGGTGTCTAGGGGGAAAGCAAAGATAGATTAATTTGTTATGCCCTTCATGTTTAACTGGAACTTCTCTCTATACCTTTTCAGGACCTAGTTCTGAGATTGACAATCTCACCACCTCACCACTCTATAGAGTTATAACTGGCCACCAACTGCATGTCCAGCTAAAATAAATTACTGGTAGTTCTCTGAGCATGGCAGGAAGCTTGGGGCTTCCCCACCTTAGCTTTTTTTTGCTTGCTTTTCCTGGAATGCACCCTAACCCCTCCCACCTGTCTGCCCATTAAATAAAGAGCTCAAATTTCACCCCAGCAGAGCCTTTCCTGACTCCTCTTTGCAGCTGGGCTGACTATGGAGTCTGGATATTGTTTAGATACCTACCTGTTTCCCAGTGGAACCTATTTGATTCATCACACCCTGTGATGCTAACTTCAGAGTTTTATGTGTACTTTAAAACTAAAAGAACATTTGTTAAAAGAGTAGGGGCAGATGACATAGAGCCAGGGTTTTGTAACACAAAGAGGCTGGCTGAAAAGTTTCATTAGGATGCTGCTTCTTCTGATGAGTTTTTGACAGGGGAAGATGATATCCGGAATTTTCCAGGTATAGGAAGCAGAATGAACAAAAGTCCCCTCGAAACAAGAAATTTGGTAGCAAATGAGTCATCCAGTTACCAAAGAACACTGGTAAGGCCCTTAAGGTCAGATAGAGAAGTTTGATGTCATTCTGAAGGTGGTAGGTTCTGGAAGGCTTTGAGGTATGGCTTGAGCTCAATAGTCTTGTGTTTTGGTTTTATCGCCTTTGGTTACAGATGGAGTTGTGGAAGGGATGTGCATGAATGCAGATTGGGAAAATGAATTACTCTGGCAAATGAGGCAAGAATGTACAGTTGAGTGATGAACAGGAATAGAGAGTAACGCAAAACCACCAGGTTTAGGCACTGGGATGCTCGTGCCTGGATGACAGCTGGAAGCGGGGTGGGATGAAAGGCAGAAGCTTGAGGTTGACACACACTGCACCACCCTAGGGCACTCGGCGTAGCGGAGGCACAAGCGTCTTGTCCCTCACGCGCCGCCGTCTGCGCAGCCCGCGGGTCGGTCGTGAGCCGGCTTGCGCGCTGCGATTCCGGTTCCGGTTCCAACTCCAGGGCCCCGCAGTACGCAACCATGGCGTACTCCACGGTACAGAGAGTGGCACTAGCCTCGGGGCTCGTCCTAGCCGTATCGCTGCTGCTGCCCAAGGCCTTCTTGTCCCGCGGGAAGCGGCCGGAGCCGCCTCCGGACCCCGAAGGTGAGCGCCTGGGATGCTAGAGGACGGACTTGACCTCCCAGGCCCACACCATTCCCCTAATGGCTTGCTTGTCATCTTGTCACCTGTGTCTGAACTTAGAGTCAGTAGGTTGGGTTTGCCTTTTCTACCATGAGTGTGTGGGAACCTTAGTTGGTAGTGGCGTTTCAGATTGGTTTTGGGTGGTCACTGGTTCAGCCTTTTGTTGCCTTGATTTGGCACACCTGTAATGAATGCTACTATTCCACGGTTAAGTAGGATCACTTTAAGTTAAAGGCTAGCCTGGCCTGCTTAATGAATTCCAGTCCAGCCAGGGCGCAAAACAATAAAAACATCAAATTTTTGCTCAGTAATTTAAACCTTTTTTTTTTTTTTTTTTTTTTTGGTTCCTGAGGTAGAGATGAGCAAGTTTACTGTACTCTTCATACCCGCCAATTCTTTCTTTCTTTCTTCCTTCCTTTCTTCCTTCCTTCCTTCCTTCCTTCCTTCCTTCCTTCCTTTCCTTCTTTCTTTCTTTCTTTTCTTTTTTTCTTTTTTGACATGAATGTAATGTTTCAAAGTCATCCCTCTTGACATTTTGGCAGTTTTACAGAATCTATAAATGCATGGTCCTGAATGCTGGGAGAAGGGACTGGAACAATTTGCTTTTGTTCTCGAAGTTCTGCTGGTAACGTTTTGTGAATAATCCCTGAAACATCCTTGAGCCATGTTAACAGTCTGTGAACATTTCCTCTGATTTCAGCCTGTTGGTTGCTGGACAGCTCCCTTTGAACTGTAATCCTCTTTGAAATTGTGCATATTGGCTGTCCTTCCATCCTTCCGAACATTAGAGATTAAAAATACTATAAATGCAAAGCTCCATGCTCTAGGGGCTGAAGGCAGGTTGAGCACAGTATTCTGCCTGTAAAATGTGTTTGGTGAGCTGTGCTTGTAAATCTGCCACTCCCTCCTCCGTCATTACAAAAAGTTTTCTCATTTTTTTCTATCCTTTTTTTTTTTTGTCTTGAAAAGTGATGATCATCAAGGTCATCTTCAAAATCTGTGATGATCCTGAATAGTGAAGAATTGTAAAACCCTCGTTGCCCTGGTTGAAATAGCTTAAAGAAGTACTATTTAATGTGAATGGAAGACACTTCTGTATTCAGTCTTGTAGAGGGTATAGAGTTCATTGTAGATGTGACTTCCTTCCCTTGAGAACTCAGGTATTGATGGTCAGTGTTCCCATCTTGAGGTTTTTGTCATTCCTGTTTTCTTTATTCCTGGTATGCTCATCTCTTGCTTCTTTCTCATCATTTAAGTTTCTACTCAGATGTACCCATTTAGACTTTGCTGATGAACCCAGTTAAAGTAAAACTTCCCTCAGGACCACTTTAAAGGTAGTCTTGACTAATAGTTATGGAACATCCTAACATATGTCATATACACAGTATGCATATACTCACTGAATTCCAAGGAACAGGAGTTAAATCCCTGCCTCAGGGAACTCCTGGTTTAGTAGAGGAAAACAGATGAGCACCAAAGTATCAGTTACTGGTATTCATCTGGTCTACACTGGGAACAGTGGAGATCTGCATCTGCAACAGCTTGTTATTAGAACTTAACAAAGGTTTTATAGAGTTTTTTCTTTCTTTCCCACCCAAGATCTAATACACGTACCATGCAATTTGTCTATTTAAGCACATGAGTCAATTTTTTTGGGGGGGCATATTCACAGTTGTGTAGCCATCCCCCCAATAAGTTTTAAAACATTTCACCGCACCCAAGGTAGTCTCTATTCGTTTTATCTGTCACCGCCCTCATTTCCCTGTCTGTAGTCAAGGGCAACCAATCATCTTTTAATGCCTCTGTAGAGTTATCTATGCTCTTCCTAACTGATTTTTTGGTTTGGTTTGGTTTTTTGAGACAGGATTTTTCTGTTAGCCTTGGATGTCCTGGGACTTGCTCTATAGACAGACCAGGCTGGCCTCAAACTCACAGAGATCTGCCTGCCTCTGCCTCTGAGTGCTGGGATTAAAAGTGTGCACCACGACTGCTTGGCCTGACTGGACTTTTAAAAATAGCACAATGTCTCAAGGTTCATTTATCTTCTAGTATATACTTCATTCCTTTTAATGGCTGAATGCTAATCCATTGTGTTGATAGGTCGAATAGGTCACATTTTATTGAGGACATTTTTTTGTGTGTGGGCTTTTTTTTTTTTTTTTTTTTTTTTTTTTTTAGTTATTTTTTTTTTTTTTTTTTTTTTTTTTTTTTTTTTATTTTTTTCCTTTCAGCTCTTTGGGAAAATGCCATCACTTGTTTAAAGATTTCTGTGTGGACTTATATTTGTGATTAGAACTAAGAATGTGAGTGATTTCCTAGTCTTATAATTATATTTTACTTTGTGAGATACTGCCAGACAGTTAACAAAACAACTTTACCACTTTACAGTATATGGCAGTTCTGATTTCCCTGCATCTTGAAAACTTTAGGGTCAAAGTTGAAATGACCACAGCCATCTTAGATCATAACCACCATGATTGCCCTGGAGTAATCCTAGTGAACTTCCTGGCATAGTTTTTAGACAAAACCTTTAGAGTGGTGTGTGGGACTGTATGAGCAGAGGCTAGTGGTGAGCATATGTCTGCTGCCTGTGGCATTAGCTTGAGATGAATATGGTGTGTTCTTAGGTTGTCCTTCTGTCCCAGGTAATGGAAAGTCACCAGTCTTTTTGCTGTATTGATCACCATACTTCTGTCAGAAAGTCCCAAAATATATGACACTGTAGTCCTAGATCTGTCTACCTTTTTTGGTCTCGCACCTTGCAGCTGGTGTAGCAGTGATCGTGCCCTTCTGCTTACAATTGTCCTAATAAATCGGAAGTGGCATCTCTAGTATTTGTACCTCTCTGGGGATTGATGGTATTGAGGGATTGTGTGTGTGTGTGTGTGTGTGTGTGTGTGTGTGTGTGTTTTGCATATCTTCTGTAGAAAAATATCTATTCAAGTGGTTTATCTTTTAAGAATTGGGGAGCTGGTCATTTTGTTGTTGAGTTGTATGTGCTACTATGTATTTCATTTATTAGTCCATTATCTTCTCTTATTCAGTGTGTTGTGCTCACTTTATTCAAAAAAAAAAAGGGAAAGTTTTAAATTTTGGTGAATTTCAGTTTTCTTTTATTACTTTTAGTGTTAGATATGTCTAAGACAAATAAATCATTGTCTTATCTGACAATTTATTCCTATGTTTGCAAGTTCTATTGATTTTGCTCCTGCATTTGCATCTTTGGGCCTTGAAGTTATTGTTTGGCATATGATAGGAGGCAAGAGTCCAACTCCATATGGGTGTAGAGTTGTTCCAGCAGCATTTATTGAAAAGACTGCTTTCTCATTGAATTGTTTTTGGCACCCTTGTAAAACTCGTTCAGCTATAAACACGAGTTCATACCTACATGTTCATTCTGTCCCAATAGGCTATACATTGCCCTTTTGAAACTATGAAGTTGCAGCCCCCTGAGTTTTTCTTTTACAAGATGGTATAGGATTTTCTGGGTCCTGTGACCAGTATTTCAGTGTTAATTTCATCACCATTTCATTGATTCCTGAAAGAAAACAACAAAGAGCCAAAGGGTAGCTGGGACTTTGATAGACTGTGTTGAATCCGTTTTGAGACTATTGCTGTCATACTAATGCTAAGCTTTCAATGTGTGAACACAAAATTTCTGTCTAGATCTTTTTCTTTGAAAGAACACTTAGTTTTCAGTATTTAACCTTTATTTTATTAAATTTTTTGATGCTATATTATAAATATTTTGAGTTTGTTACTTGTTAAACTAATGTATTGAGCCTGTATTTTGCCACTTTATGAACTTGTTTATTAGCTTTTTGAACATAATCATGTTTTCAAATGAGAGAGTTTTACTTTTTTGTTCTCATCTACATCCCTTCTGTTTTCTTGCTTAACTAGACTAGCTATAGTCTCTAGGCTGTGTAGAATAGAAGTGATAAAAGCCAATATTCTATCTTGTTTCTGATCTCAAGAAGAAATTTCTTATATCATTAAATATAGTGTGGATAGGGGTGACTTAGTTGTCCTTGATCAGATTTAGGAAATTTCCTTCTGTTTATAGTTTTTAAGTGTTTTTGATCATGAGTTGGATACTGGGTTTTTACCAAATGCTTTTTTACTGTCAAGATGATTGTGTTACATTAATTGGTTTTTAGATACTAAACCAACCTTGCACACTTTGGCTGAAATGAAGTGTGTGTGTGTGTGGTGTAGTGTAGGTGTATGCTTTTTTCTTTTTTCTTTTTTTTAATTGTTGAGGACTAGGACTTGACCTGAGGTTCCCCTGTGGCCCTGATATATGGAGAAGTACTGTAGCTCCTTCTCTAAACCAGTAATATGCTTGGTAGAGCCAGTAATAGTGTGGGGTAGGGCCTTGGGGGAACTGTGGTTTAGAATCCTGAGAACCCAACTTGTCTCCAGTAAGGTGCTATGGTTATCTGTTCTAAGGCCCTTGAGATAATCCTATATTCTCCTTTTGCAATATTGCTAGATTAAATTCCCACTGACTTTGACTTTGTCCCATTGTTTGTTTATTTATTTTTTCTGACATTGTCCCATTTTCCCTCCAGGAGAAAAACTGTATATAAGATGCCATCCTTCTTTTTGTTGTTGTTTGCTTGTTTTTGTTTTTGTTTTTAAAGACAGGGTTTTTCTGTGTAAAAGCCCTAGCTGTCCTGGAACTCACTTTGTAGACCAGGCTGACCTCAAATTCACAGAGATTTAGCTGCTGCTGCCTCCAAGTGCTGGAATTGTGCTGTACTTCTCAATAAGGTTGCTTGGTATAAGACACCATTTTATACAATACTCCTGGCCCCAGCTTTCTTATCTTCTTTATCTTCTCATCTCCTGGTGCTCTCCCTGAAGACTTTGTCATTGAAGAACGACTTGCAGGTTGAGGTCATTAACCATCCAGTGGAAGGGGAATTTCAGGTAGAAGAAACATAGGGTCTTGAAAA